CTGCTGAAATCAACAGAACAGTTGGACAGTTCCAGCTACACCACAGAAACAGTATTAGCATAAAAACATACAGGCACACAAAACCAAGGAAAATAATTTTGCTAGATTAAATGCTGCAAATGGACAAAACCTTGCAATCCCTCTAGTCTGAAGTTCGGGACTTGTTCTATGAAATCCTACAGGAATGCGTTTTTTGGCATTTTCTGAAGAGTCATATCCACGTGACTTGATGTCTTTAAGGTCCACTAAGAGAAACAGCCAATAGCCACTTAAAACATTTGAAAACTGAGACTTCTCAGGTATGGAAGAGTACTGGAAAGGAGTCTCATGAAAAGCAGCAGTGGAAAAAGTGAATACTTTCCAGGCGGAAATCACTTCTTTCATTTCCAGCCATGCCACAGGCGGTATTGGTGAGGAGTTTCTCTGAATGGTACTGTGATTTTGGTATCTACAGTCCTTGAATACTGGAACAACTATATGAAAAATAAAAATCTCAGATTTCAAATTAGTTATGAGTGAATGTTTCTGTTATTACTGAACTACATTGCTACTAAATCGCAAAAGAAAAAGCATATCCTAAAATTTTATTAATTTTAAGTTTTCAGCAGCTCTTTGGAACTGAATCAGGAAGGATTTGGAACCGGACAAAGCAACGATGTATTTATGAAGGAGAAATCATGTTTAACCAACCCAATAGCCTTCTAAGAAGAGATGACTCGTTCGGTGGATAAGAGGAAGAGGAACAGATATTGTTAACCTTGACTTTACTAAGGCTTTTGACACTGTCTCCCATAACATCTCATAAACAAGCTGATAGTGCAGGCTAGATAAGTAGCCAGCGAGGTGGATTGAAAACCTGACTGAACTGCCAGAGTCAGAGGCTGTGATCAGGGGCACAAAGTCAGTCAAAGGCCAGTCACTAGTTGTGTCCGGCATGGGTCAATATTGCGGCCAAGACTGTTTAACATCTTCATTGACGGCCTGGATGATGACCGAATGCACCCTCAGCAAGTTTGCGGATGATACAAACCTAGGAGGACTGGCTGATACACGAGATGGTTGTGCTGTTAGGCACAGGGACCTGGACAGGCTGGAGAAACAGCCAGAGAGGAAGCTCATTAAGTTCAATAAGGGAAAGTGCAGAGTCCTGTACCTGGGGAGAAATAACCCCAGGTACCAGTGCATGCTGGGAGCCAAACAGCTGGAGAGCAGCTCTGCAGAGAAAGACCTAGGGGCCCTGATAGACGAGCTGAACACGGACCAGCAATGTGCCCTTGCAGGCAAAGGCAGCCAATGGCATCCTGCTCTGTATTATGGAAATAGTTGCCAGCAGGTCCAAAGAGGTGATCCCTCCCCTCTACTCGGCACTGGTCCAGTTCTGGGCTCCTCAATACAAGACAGACACTGACCTGCTGGAACAAGTCCAGCAAAGGGCTACAAAGACAATTAAAGGACTAGAGCATTGCTTGTATGAGAAGAAGCTGAGAGAGCTGGGACTCTTTAGTCTGGAAAAGAAAAAGGCTCAGGGGAAGATCTTATCAATAGGCATAAATACCTGATGGGAGTGTCTAAAGAGCCTAGGGCCAAAACTCTTCTCAGTGATGGCCAGTGACAGGACAGGAGGCAGCAGGCACAGACTGAAGCACAGGAAATTCCACTTCAACATAAGAAAATACTTCTTTGCTGTGGTTGAACATTGGAACAGGTTTCCTGGAGAAGTTGTGCAGTCCTCACCCTTGGAGATATTTGAAACACAACTGGACATGGTCTTGGGCAGCCTGCTCTAGATGACCCTGCGTAAGCAGGGGAGGTGGACCAGATGATCTCCAGGGGTTCCTTCCAACCTCAGCTATTGTGCAATTCTGTTAAATCTTTCAAATATACTTTTCTTCTTTTAAACAAAACTATTGAAGTCATACCACATAAACCACTTCAGTGTTTTTAACCGCAAATTTCCATGTATCAATATCTCTCTACGCACAAGGCACAGAAAGTAGACACGGATTATTCCATGCACTACAGGCATGTATCCTGCAAGAAGCTATCAAGACAAAATTTAGCTCATAGCATTACTTTGAATAGATACACAACTATATGAATAAAGGAAGTAAACATTACTACGCCAAGTTTTTCTACTTCAGTCATGTACGAGTTATGCAATGCAGATGATCTGTAAGCTCAGCTTGCAAGCAATGAATCAAAAGAACCAAACAAGCATTTCCCTGAATATTCTCAAACATCCAATAAGTTGGAAATGTCAATATTGCTCATTAATTTTTTAATCCTCAATATGAAAATTTCAGTAGTAATGCATATACATTCAAGCAATAAAACAATTTGAACAGATTTATAAGAGAAGACATTTAGTAATATACTTTTCAGCTCAACTCCTGCCTTAATACATTTGATGTGTTAAGAAAGAACTGCAGTAGCAATAGCTCACATAAGCCACTGTTCTTTTTCTTTTCTATACTTCTCAGACCACTTCTGAGTGAGCTCTAAGTAAACATTTGGTTTATGGGGTTTATAATCAAGGTAAACTATCTGTCCAGTCCGTTTGGGGACAGCTTTTTCAATCTGTGTTCCTTCATGCCACTCATTAAAAGATGTGATAGAAATAATTTCTGGTCTCACCAAAAGGGCTGCACTAAAGGCAGTCTCATAGTACTTTCCATTGACACGATTACGAGTGTTGTGGTTGTTCCACGGTCGGATACTGGTATCAATATATCCTGGACCCACACTTGGAATAAACATTAAGTTGTTACTATCACAGAAGGCTTTTAAACTTGCCCAATTATGATGAGATGAGCCATAAGAGAAGCCATTGGTGGCAAAATACGTGTAAATTCCATCAAAGCCACTTCTGTGAATGTCATGCTTATGCCTTTCTTCCACTAGAAGTGCAATGAATAATCCATCATATGGAGTATTTCGAATAGTCTGGGATCCAGAAACAGTTAGCAGATTTCCCCAAATCTCAGGAATTGTTACGTAAGAGTCATAAACATAAAACATGGGAAGAAATCTGCCAGTGCTGGTCTTATACCTGTAAAAGGCTGGATGGTCTCCATATCTACAAAGCAAACAAGTACTGTTAAGTATTAAGACCAAATTTACCAGTGGTAAAATACTGTTTCAAAGCATGGATCAAGGATTCTTAAGAATTAATTTAAAAAGACAGCGCATATGCTTCAATAAACAGCAATTCACACCCATTTTTAATCCAACATAGGGTAAAGTATTAAATAAATAAATCAAAGAGCCTTTACACCACTAGAAGTTAGTAATTTAGTGACAGACTGTGTTACAGGTATTTCTTTCTCTCAAAGGCAATTCTCTTATTCAGTATGAAACAAAAAAACAACCTAAGTAGCACTGATAAACAGAACAACTAGCAGCTGTACAAGATTTGTTAAGCCGAATTAAAATCATTAGAGGTCAACACATTACAGCTGTAGCTGCTAGTCTGTGACTATAAAAACTCATTCTTAACTTAAATATCTTAGAGCTTAGCACTTCACTGTTTACTTTGAGGTATCATGGCTTACACGACACTTGTAAGAGTTGAGAGCAATTTACATTTGAGTGTTTACATAAAGGTCATGCTTCGATAATTAAAAACAGGCTTTGTTTTGGAGTTTTGTACCATTCCAATATGCACAAAGTTTCTTCAAATTTTCCCTCAGTCTCAGTTAACATTTTTATATATTCTTCAAGGCTTTAGATAATATATAAGAATTATCTAAATCAGCACGTAACCATACCCAGAGGAAACATTTTGAAAGCACTCACTTGTCAATGATGTATTTGACATTGTTGTACATACTGCGATCATCTCTATCTTTATAGGGTTCAATATGAAAAGTGACCTGAAAAATGAAAATGTAGTAAGAGCAAAATGAACCTTAAATATCACGGAACACATCGGCACTGGTTATTATATGAATCTAATATCAGTCATTATTAATGCTTTATAAAGAGGAACTATTAAACATTTTCTTCAACCTAGCTCGAGAATAATCTAGGACTGATTCAACCTCTGGGCTACTGAGATTGGTAGCTTCAGCTCTGTGAAAGTCAGTAACAGAATGTATTTAGTTTTTTATAGTAATACAAAATACTGCCTCTCTTCTCCCTAGGTGAGAATAAGCAGCATGCTTAACAAATCTTAGGAACTACAGCAGATATCAAAACCTAAAATAAACAAAGATTACCTATTCGCATGTCAAAAAGACTAAATATTAAAATATTTCATCAGTTAATTTCGAAACAACATATTACAGCTGTTATAAGTAATAATTATTCAAGGAAAGTTTTCAATGTGAAAAGTGGATTTTAAGACATGGGATATAAAAACTTTAATTTAGAATTTGAGACACATCAACAGCAACAAACACTTGGGACTACATCTAATATATTGTATGGCTGCTGCTCTGAACTTCAAGTTTGAGGCCGAATAAGTTATTTATCCTATATTCCTGAACTCATTTCAAAGTAAAAATCCTATTGATTTCAACTATTCTATTAAAGGGAACATTTTGGAGCCACTTGACTTATCACATAAAGTAGATTTAAAAAAGCTTTAGGGAACATATTCAGAGTTTGGCTTCATATTTTTCAAGTATATTAGCTCAAATTTGAAAGTTTGATCATTTTCTACTGAACTGTTGGAGTATAGAGTATACATTGGTATCTTTCTGCTGATCTCAAACCATTTTTAAGCATATATTTTAATATAACACAAGAAAACACTGCATGGTTATGTGAAAAAAAAAAATCACCTTCCCTTCAATCCCTTCTCTTAAAATTTAGATTCATAACAATACCTCACAGACATCACGAAAGTTAGAAAAGCAGACTTTCAAAGAAAAAACCCTAACAGCACCAGATAAGAAAGAAAAAAGCCTAACAGCATAATCAGCTTTCTTGCTATAGGCAATAAGAAAAACTGCCATTAAGTCTGAGGTTCATTTTCTTATTATTCTTCTACCTTTAACGTAAGGTTGCAGTTGATAAGATACCTACAACTTGGTTTTCTCCAACAAGTCAGTCACCTGTTGTGCTGACTTTTTTCTCTTGCATAGCCAATCTGCCTTTTGTCCTTTTCCTTCTATAGACTTGAAGACAGATGACCAAGCTTTTGACTTCCAGCTTTAATTTTATCCCTTTATCCAGACTTTCAGCACTTGGAGAAAATCAAATATCATCTAGCCAATAGAACAGAAAGTTTTTCTAGAACTTCCTCTTCTTTAAATCTGACTGTTGTAGTACTTTCGCTGTACCTTAGAAACTATTCATTTCCCTAACGTGCCTGTCTCAGACAAGAAGCGTTCTTTGCATTTTACGGATGCAAAGAACACGGCACAAAGAGAAAATAGAGAAGTCTATGCAGAGGGACTAAAGAGAACCAGATATTTTGCATCTCACTATACGCATTTTACTAACTCTTATTCCACCATCATTCGTAACTCTTCTGGAACGCTTCCAAAAGAGATGTCATTAACGTGACAGGTACAGTTCTATTTTTCTCAATTTTTGAGAGAAAAGTACGCAGTTTTATTTTAGCAATTTCGCAGAAGTGTCACAGTAACAGGTTGTAAAATATTATGCCCACATTACGAACATGGTATTTGGTACTTTACTTCTTCCATGAATGAGCAAAACTTCTACTGAAAGGCAGAAAGGCCTAACATAGTTCGTAATTCTTGTGCCTTCGCCACATAAGTATTCTTCTTTCTTCTTCTGCGTAACTGAAATGTAGCTCAGGAAAAGATCACATTAATTCTGTCCACATCGAATTATATTTAAGCTATATTTAACCTATATCAACTCTTTAAAATATTCTGAAATAATCTATTCTCAAGATCATTCCTGAAGAGAAAAATCACTGCATTCCCATTGTATTAGCATAAACATTGATCTGTTTTGGGAAAGAAGGGGGAAAAAGAGGAATTCATCTTACTGAATGCTGAAGAATATGTGAATAAACTGATCGTACTGAAAGAGTTTTGCAGGCAGTTGTCATAATACTAATCAGATAAAACATACTTCTAAGAAATAGTGGGTATTTGCTTGCTCGGTAGGCTTTGTCTAGTGGGGTGAAAAGGTGTGCCAACTAAAAAAATTATAGTTAAGGTAGAACTTGAAATAGTTATATATATATATTTTTTATGTGAAACTAAGAAGTGGCCATGTCACTTGAACATAAAATGAGTTTTAAGATTTTGAAATAGTATTAGTATTGATATAAACGAAATATTAAAAAGTAACACTGCTGTTTGGTTTAGTATCATGGGCAAGTGGTCTAGTGAGTTCTTATGCACAGAAGATCAACAGTATATGATCACTAAATTTTAAAATAACTAAAAAATTCCAAGAACAGCTTCAAGAGTGAAATGAAGAACAAAAATCCACAAATTAGCATTTAACATAGGCTGTGTCAATAATAAGTTAAACATTCAGCATTAACTTGCTAATAACTCATATATTCCTCAACTCCCAGAACTCATTAAAAAATAAGCTGCATAACTTAGTGTTTCCTAAAAAGAAAAGGGAAAAAAAAAAAAAACTTAGATGCTGTAAGCCTTAGATTTGAACGAAAACAGAAAAACAGAGATTACTGTATTTACTCTAGTTACAAGGATATGTTACCTAGATCTTACCAAAATCCAGTGTAGCTCAAGGGCATATAAACCTCCTCCTAAAACGAGCCCAAAAGTGCAGTGCAATGAGATAGACATATGGTCACCCTTACATCATCAGCCTCCCTGCTCTACGCCATGAGTAGAATGCAGTAAACTGCTAAAGTTTACTTTCTTTAGTAATCATGCATCTTTAAAATACTTTACCTTTAGATTGTATTTGTGTGCAAAATCCAAAATTACAGGCACCAAATCATCAGTTGGTTCTCCATTTTCATCAGCCATACCTGGTGGGTACCATGAGAGCGCTATTACACCTGAGAATACAAAACAAGTTCCAAAATATTATTTCATGTAAACATATGCAGCTCATTTATCATGACTTATAATTAAAAAATGACATAAAGAAATACATAATGTAAATGAGAGCTTCAAATGACTTCAATTATGCAATCCCAATATTCTCAGAGCAGATTTTCAACATCTCTACCTTTTTTCCGTAATAAAATAAATTGGTGGTAGGAGCATCTGTCAAGGAAACAGATCTGCACTCACTGTCCCAAGACTAAAACTTGTTCCCTCCCACTTTTCAGTAAGGCATCCTAACCTTCAGGTTGTAACAAGAGGAGCATGCTCCTAAACAAGGGATTATAGATATGCTTCAGTATGGGCAGAAAACACCCAGATTACATAGGGTCAAGACAGTACTCAAGCAATGAGGGCTATACATGTGTCTGTACTATTATTTTCTGAAACTTTACTCTCTGCTATATTGCTGTATTATACCTCATGGTCTACTATAAAACAACTATTTGGTACTAGAAGCAGCAACTAACCCCACGCTTTTCCTTCTAGCTAAAAGCAGCCCCTATGCTGTGATCCACACTTGCAGTTAAATTCATATATATATAAAGCTCAAGTAACCCTCAATAACCTAAAGAAATTAGAATCTAAGAATCTAAGTAAGTTCCTATCAAATAAGATGAAAATAAATACAATGCCCACGTGTTATAAGTTTTCCTGATGCTCTCCATGAAAGAAAAGAACACATACCTCTTCAGAAGGTCTACAACTTTTCCTTCTAAAATAAAACTGTCAGATAAGTAAGTAAGAATTTGAAGGTGTGTAATTAAAATGACATAAATGTCAGGAAGAAGATAAATAAAAAAAAATCCTTGAAACACTGATGTAGGAATATTTTTCAACAATGTTATTTCAGAAACAGAGAAGTTAGTATGATTGTATACTTAAATTTTTACCTAGGTAAAAGCAAAGACAGAAGTAGGTCACAGAGATAGGGCAGTATATACTCTTTTTAAAAAAGTCCACCCACTCTAATATCATTTCTGACTAACAAGCTCTATAGAAGCCAACCCAAATTATGAGAATGCATAAATTAGAATGCACAATCAGCTTCCGATGTCCAGAGAGATTTGAGCTCACTATACTGAGGGGAGGTTAGTTCAATTACCTGCAACATATTCTCTGCTCATTTTATTACAGAAAGAATCATAGCTACGCAGTAGATAAACTATCACAAGAGACAGTCTGCTGGTAGAAAAGAAAATTACAATAATTTACTGCATTTAACCATGTTGTTTTTGTACTTAACACAAGAGGGAGGGACAAAATTCAAATTAATAAGATGTAAAGAACAAGTAGAGCTGCAGCAATAAAAATCAGGTTATCCTCTTCCAAATATGTGGAATATATCGCCTGTCAAGACTCTTCATAACTTCTATACTATTAGGAAATGGAATGGAGGGAAGGCTAATTCACATTTTTTATTGGTCCTTCCCCAAGACAACAACCATCACATATGTTCTTCTCTGTGGTAAAATATAACGGAGACTTCAGGACTTCAGGAATTCTTTAAATTCCTTAAAGAATTAAGGAACAGACTAGGTGAAACAAACATACAAACAAACCATCCACACCACAACGTAGTGTAATTTGTCATTCAAGACAAATGAGTAACTTCAAAGTGGAGTACCACCAGAATAGGGTAGTGAAGGAAAACGAGCCTCACCAGGAACTAAGGAATTTGAGGAATAACGGATGAATATAATGTATTTTAAAACTAGGAAAGTTAAAGAAGGAAAGAGTTATAAAATACAAGAATATAAGGAAGCACTGGATGAAAGGCTCCTGCTTCTCCAGTTTCTCATATGCCTTTGATCATTACACAATAAGAATCACTTACGCTTTTCTCCTTTCAGGAGGTCCTTGATAAAGTCTCTCAAAAGAGGCTAGAAAAAAATTATTTTTGATAGAATGCAGAATACTGTCACGGTTTAGAAACCAGGTAAGAGACAAAAAGAATGAACAGAACTGTTAATTGTCAACTTCACAATTGTCAACTTCACAATACACCGAAAATGAACAAAGTATACTTCAAATAGCGTGTCAATTTCCTGTAAGAATTAGTAATTTTTTCCCCCCTTCAGATCATTAATGTTGGTCAAATCCAAAAGTCAAAATGGTTAACAGAAAAAAAAAATCCACTTTTGTAATATACTTATGAATATTTGTCAAAAGTATGCTACAGAAAGTATGAACTCACTCATATCGCTGAGTTTTAAGGGAACAGTAACAACCTCAGGTACTAAAAAAACTTAATCTTCATAGCTTTTTTCCTAGTATTCTGCATCTTTCTACCACCAGCTCAGGTTTATTAGGCAATTGTATTAACTGTACCAGAAATGTCACAGACTCTTCAAAAGGTGCAAATGTACTCGCCGCTTTCATCACACTGTCATGTATTATTTTCCGATTTAGACAGCACTAGAAATGGGCCTAAGGGCAACTAACACCTCAGACTTTTTTGCCAGGTTTCCGACTGTGGCTGATGTTCCTATTCTTAATAGTGGATTTATCCTATTACTGACAAGTTCGAGAAATTCTCAATTTTTGATTGAAACCATATTCAAAATTGAGGTTAGGCTGAGGAAAAAAACCAGGAAGCAAACATTACATAAATAAACACTACTAATGGGAATATAACAGTTACATCAGTCCTTAGTTCTCACCTTGAACGATGCCGTTAAGGGCTGGTCATGCTGTTCCAAGTATAGTCACCGAAGCAGTTCAAAGTTAAAACAGGTAGTCTTAGAATATAAGTTCTTAGTTCTAATGGTTTAAGTATGATGGACATAGAAAGGGCCATAAAAGCCAACAACAATAATGAATGACAGCAAAAATATGTTAAATATTCTTATTTATATATGCCACCTCATTTAAGTAAGGGAATATCAAATTATATTTAAATAAAGAGGTTAGCTGTTAACAAGTTAGCCACACAAACTATTCTACCTGAGTTCAAGAAGGTCAAAATTAGATATTTATATAGCTAATGAGAACACCCAGCAATACATTGGATAAAATATAAGTTGTATAAAAGCTATAATCTTATATGCTTTTTGAGGCAAGAATTGCTAAATAATTGTTACACAACAGATCTCTGGGGAAGAAAAAAAGCGTTCCTGTTTGAACTGACTCTTCTATAAGCATGCTAATATGGTTTATTGAAACCTATTCTTAAAACTTAAGTATTCATCTTCAAAGACAAAATACACAGACAAAAAATACACTCTATCAATGGCTTCCATATTTTCTTCATATGTTATCAATGCTCACAGTAAGTTATGAAACACATGAATCTAAAGGATTAGAAATACAGTTCACAGTTTCTGTGCTGTAACGCTCATCAGAAGCGGCTTCGAAGGTCTAGGCTTCAGTTAGTGGTTAAACCTCAGAAATACAAAGACACTTGTTTCAGACATTGCCAGAATTACATAGAAAAGTGAAAGAATTAGTTCTGTTCACTCAAACATTTAAGACTGGGTAAAAGAACAACATGCTAAAACGTTAACATTTATTACCAATTGAAGCTGAACGCATTTGCTTCATGTGGGCTTCTATGACAGAAGGGTCTTTGGAACTGTAAGATCCAAGTTCAGGATAAAAGTTGGCCCCAATGTCCTCAGGGGGATTATGCCTTCCTTTTGGATAATTGTTTGCAATTTTGGGATCCCAGTGTGGCAACAATGGATGGTTCCAGTGAATATATTTACCATCAAACTGAGGATTCCCAAACCAACTGTAATAGAATACATGAAAGTTATAATTAGGAGAAGATAACTCTTCTTCCAGCTTGTTTATAGGAGGCATAGACGCTTTCATAGTATTGGCTGCGCTACTATGCAAATTACTGATGTGCATTACAGTATCTCCTTGAAGCCTATTTAGCGAATTCTGCTTATTTTCTAAGAGCACTGTCCGCTGACGAAGCTCAGGCAACAGACCAAGTCCAAATGGATCCCCAAAACCAGCTCTGTCAGGTCTGAGAGTCTTCAAAGCCATCATTATGGAGCAAATAAATAAAATAAAAAGCACCAAAATGATGCATGTTCTTCTGCGAAATCTTGCCATGATGTCATAGTTCAGAATCCAAACGGAAGGATTTTGGCCACAACTGATCAAAAGATAAATATTTTAAAGTCAGATTTCTTATTACCTAATTCAATGGTATGAAATGCTTCATAAGGTTTTTACATAACAGAAATATGACAACAGTTATGTGACATTTACACATTGATTGCATAGCTAATACCCATTTTCTAAAGACTAAGTGGGGAAAAAGGAACAAAAACTTCTGCATTTGAGAATATATGTTAGAGACTGAAGTTCTACTACTGATGGATCACATTTTATATGATATCTTACTTTTAAGCTTTTGTTGTTTTCTGTACACTATTAAATTCCATGAGATAGAAATTCCAGTTATATTATTTTAAAACTACTGTACTTTAACAAGTTTGATAAAAATAGCACAGAAAATAATTAGAACAAACAAGCAGCGACCATGAAAGATGCATAATGCAGAAAACCAAGAGTAAAGGATAAAATGAGATGTAACAAAAGTATAGTTTATGTTCAGAACACAGGTTCATTTAATAACCTATTTATTGGCTTTGGAAAACCACTTCAGTTAACTGATTACTTGACTAAATAGTTGATAGATTAACTTTAAAAGTTCTGCTGCCTATCTTTAGTCAGCCCTGATATTCATCTGACTTTCACTTTTTTCCACTCATACACTAAAACAGCAAAACCTAGTTAAACTCAAAATCAAAAAAAAAAAACAACAAAAAAACTATTAGCTTTTACTTTGTTAGAGAGCTGAATCAGCTGAATGAGTATCACAGCACTAATGCAAACAAGTGAGTTAGCAACACGGTGCTAAAGGAAAATGAAATTGCTCATTCTGCCCAACTGTGTTGTGAAACGTACACACTCGTAGCTACTGTCAGGGCAAATGATTTTATAACGTTTATGCCATAGTACTTCACATTATTTAAGATGTTTTTATTAGCAGATTTCACAGCACTTTAGAATCACCTCAAATTACAGTAGAGTTCTTTTTATATAGCTCATAATTCCTCACAAGACCTTAAAATTTTGTCCAAGAGAGTATTTGGAGTTCAGATCTCCTCCAAATCATTCTTCTTCTAATAATTACAAATATTAAACGTACTTCTATTTTTCCTGACTGCTCAAGCCTTTTTTTCTAATCTGTCATGCATTTTTTTTCTAGGTATTTAACTCAATTGCAAATTAGAGAAATTTTTACTTTTCTATAGTTTTTTTTTTTTAAAGGAAACAACATTATTCACCTAGTTAAATGTATAAGTGTATTTCAGATTTCCTTAAGTGCATTTGAAGAATGAAAAATTTCACTTTTGAAGAACTCCTATTTGTATAATTCACTATTCAGTGTTCTTCAAATTTAACCAATGTTATTGGTCTTCAGTAAACACTATGCAGAAGCAATTTCTCACTGGCAAACCTGTAATTTTTACTTTATCTCCCCTGTAAAGAAATTTCGTAACCTTAGTGATTATGGTCTATAATTAGAGTGTTCAGAAAAAGTCTTTCATCTGTGCTCTCCTATCCTATATTGGAAAAACTGTTCCTCCTTGTTCTTTGCTTGATATATCAATGATCAGATTCCTTTTCTATTGCATCAAGATTTCACTATTATAAGGTGCTTTTTTTGAAACAACAGGAAATTGATCCCAGTATTCCATGCTCTTATTTCAATAAAGATTTTTCCAATGGCATATTTAACATAAAAATACATTAAAAAGCAAGCAGTAGATACACTAGTTCTAAATCCATTGGCAATCTTCAGTTTCGAAGATAAAAAATTGACTGGCATCAGGACAGAACCTGGTCTACCACACCATATTATGAACCTCTAGAATCCTCATATCAAAGGGCAACATCAAAGTATAAAATTTCTAAAACAAAGAAGTGATATCTATGTTGAATGCTTGTATGGTTTTCTGCACCATCACAGTCTCACTAATGAGGTAATTCAGCTCTGGCATGGATACTTATACTGAAAAGCTGCACTCAAGAGCTACAGGTTTGCCATCCTTGCATTATGTCATTCAATCTTGTTCAGAGCTGGTATTTAGAGACAGCAACACACAAATCATGCTCATCACCGCTAGTGCCATAGCAGAAACAAAATGTCAGGGAAAGAAAACCTGCTATACAAAAAAAAAACTAACTGAAGTATGTCTGTCCTTGGGTATAAGTCACCGTGCAGTTGGATCTAAAATCAGTTCTCATCTTCATTAGGAATGAGGTGGCTTGAATTGCTTCAGCTTTATGCAGGTTAAGAGCTCACACACAGTTACTCAGACTCATACCATGAGTGGTTAACTAGTAGTAGCTTTTGGATCCTAACCCAAGTTTGTCAGCCACTGTTGGTGTACCAGCAATTAAGCCAAAAATTGTGCATGTTAATATGTCAAGCTCTTTCTCTTGGCTTGGGAACTCATTTTAAGTGAGTAACAACAACAAAAATCTGTAACAGGTCAAGAACAAAGAACCATTTGGTTTAAATTACCATAACATAAAAGAATATCCCTATCGCTTTTCCCAAAATAAGGATGTTAATTTGGTCAGAGAGAAGAAGCAGTTTAATTACTCCAGATCATTTTGGAGTATCCAGATATCCAGTACTCCATACCATTTTTCAAGTTTCAGCTCATTCCTATGGGGTTTTTTTTAAAGTATCATTGATCCCACAGGGAAAATATGCAATGAGAAGGAAGTATTTCCAGATAAAATAAGTGCATTTGCTTGAGTAAGAACCAGCAAATACTGTATATTTCTTTGTTATACTGCTATATAAATAATAGGCCTATATAAATAGGCCAAATGAAAGCACAACGCAACAGCAAGCTCTGAAAATCCCACTTTCTTGACCCTTTGTGAGGTAAGGGTAAGGTCATCCAAAAGTCACTAGAGCTGGTAACCCATGGCAGGTATCAAAGCTTTTCAGCTAAGATTTTGGAGCTCAGCTTCAACTAAGATCTCCCAACTGGAAGAACTCGAAAACTCTGAAGTGACTGACACAATCCAGACAGAGCTGAAGCTTCCGGGCCTTCAAAGTCCTTAGGGTTTGGAAAACCTGCTATCCTTGACCCTGAGCTGTGCTCTGGGCCTGCAATGCAGCTATGCTCCTAAAAAAACCTGTTTCTAAGTGACTGAGCAGGTGAGATTTAGTAAACACCTTAGGGGCTGATTAGAGTCTCTCCTGACTACTAGATTTACGTAACACATTCTGGTCTGGAAAACATAAATAATAAAAAGCAACACAGCCAGGGTGCCTCTTCCTTGGGAGAACCTTGGGAGTTTTTCTAGTACTATACCAACTAGGAAACTTTTCAAAACCGTATGTCAATATAGAAAAAGTCTCTTCTATAGACTTTAAAAGAAGTCCTTGGAAATCATTAAATATAAAAGAAGATATTATATAAAGAAAGCAGACATTTCCTAACTATGTCTATAAAAAAAAAAAATTCCAAGCATTTCCAGTAATATAAAGTCTCTTTTTGATCTACTCAACTTGGAAAGAGGTACTTGCCATCTGAGAATTTTAACACGGACAATTTCATACTATAAAAAAATACAGAACGTTGTTTTTTGCTAAATTAATTTGAATTCAAGAAAGAAAGTAGTAAGAAAGAAAAAGACGTATCTTGCTTTTGTTTTAAACATGATAACATAGTTTTCAGTACGAACTTTAACAACATGACTATTCTCATCAAGTTCTAAGTGAAATCAGTTGAACATACGTAATACTAAAATCAGAGTTAATATTGTGCTTTGGTTATACAGTAGAGAACCATAATCTCCTAACTTCAGTGTTTTAAAAGACAACTACAATTTTCAAGTAAAATTTTAATTAGAAATATTTCCAGTTTAGACAGTGAGTTTTCCCACTTATTTGCCTAGCTTTTTCACACTGCTAGGAGTGCTAAAACTTTTCTTTTAAATCAGTAAAATGACTATGTCACCAGTATCAAGAAGATTCAAGAACAACTGCAATATGCTATTAATTTTAATATGTAAGAGCATTTGATTTCAGCATGCCAGAATTCCGTTGCTTGAAGGGACATCTGAATACGCACCTAACTTCGAGCACTTTGCAACCATGAGAAAAAGCAAACTGCCCACTGCTTCTTCATCTGGCTCTAGGTATGGACCAGCATCGCAGGGGGTGGGGAGGGGGGCTCAGGGCCTCCGAAACAGGTGGCTGTGGAGGAAAACCATTTAAGAACAGTTCAAAGCAATGAGGAAAGGGCACCGGCAGCTTTCTGCGTGGCTCCCCTTCCCAAAGGGAGCCACCACACCACCAGCGTTCACTTTCCCAAGCACCTGAGTCTTCGGCGAAGCACCCACCTCCCACCAGATGCAAGGCACCTGCTACGGATGAGGGGCACGGTGACCGGCCTCAGCCAGAGCGGG